GAAGGAAGGAAGAAAAAACAAATGAAGAGGTATAAATAGATGGGATGGATAAATGGTCGAAAGCTAGGATGAATGGAATGTAATAGAGATAGATGAATAACAGTCTTACTTGCGGAGGAAGATCGTCTCTTATTCTATGGTATCGATACACTCGTCTTTTCCAAAATATTTCCAGTTCTCTCTGTTCACTTTCTTCAGCATATTGTGGCAAAGAGCAATCATAATTTTCAATCACTATTGGCCTCTTGTTGCGAATCCATCGATGACAAGGAAACACTAGATCCTCTTTTCCCTCAAACTCGTCCGGTTCTCCGAAATATCGACGCACTTCAATCTTTTCCACGAACCATTCAACGCATCTTTTTTCATTCAACTCAGAACGACACAGTTTCAACCTTGTTATTGGTCCTATATTCAATTCCACTCGAAACGTAAAAAAATCTGTATGTCCTCGCTTGAAAACCGTAAAACAATTCCCAGCGAGACTTAATTCCTGTGAAGTCTTTCCTGCTTCGTCGATTAAAGTCAGATAAGCACAATTATGGAGCCCTACGCCTTTGGTGTCGCCGGTTTTTACAGCGACTATAAGGTTAGGAAAATCGAAACAGGAGAAGCAGTCCATTGTATTTCCCATAGTTGGTGAGATACCGACAAATCAAACCGAACGTTGACACTGCATTGGCTTCCAACTGGAATTCCCGTCTTCACAAAGTTTCCAAAATTAAAATCCTCCAAGTTTTGTCTTCTGCTGTAATATGGTTTCAAAAATCAAGGAAAMTGGACTGAAAGACCTAAAAATCTCTAATGAAATTATAAAGTTCAAATTTCTTAAAATTCAGTTTCAAACTTGTGCTGGACGGTAGGCAACAGTATAAAAAAGATCTTGACCGATTTGTGAAGGATGAAACTGTGATTTTTGGAATTAACTTTTTCTGTTTGGAATTTCTTATTAAATCCTAGATTTGGGTTGCGTTTGTGTTAAGTCTTATCTCTTATCTCTTGGAAAAAGAGAAGCGTGAGTGTGCCCAAGTTTGAGCGTGGACTCTGCGGTACTTTGTTAGCTTGTCAACCAACGGAAAGGCAACAGGTTATAAACTAATGAATAATTAACAGTTCACAGTTAAGAGAGTAGACTGAGGTGAAGTGCCTTTGTGTATGAGTGTTGTATAGATGTATTTTAAGCTTGGCTCAATATGCTCTAGTGCCCTAGTGGGGAATATTTGAGAAAACRTTAGAGATATCACCGAAAATTAGGCCCTGGCTAAACGAGGAAACATGTTTTCATAAAATTTTTCCTAAGGTGGCAAAACTGTCAGGAAAAATCGTGAAACAATATTTCCATGCGTCTTGGAAACATGAAATGTTTCTGCCGCACAGCAAAAACATTTTTTGCGTCTTGGAAGCAAAATTTGTTGCACGCAGCAATGTTTCGCATGTGGCTAAACTGGGAAACATCGAGGAAACATGTGCGCAGTAAACATGTTTCCTCGTTTAGCCAGGGCCTTAATAGCATACGAAACATTGTTTTAGCAAGGAATTAATTTTCACCGTGTAATTCTAAAACTCATACCATAGCTGAAAATCATCTTAGAATTAGTTAAACTGTTTCAGAAGAAAATGAGTTCAAAATTCGCCGGCCAAGGAAGATATAAATTCTCAAAAATCTAAATTTCGTATGAAAACATTCGTTTTTGGCATTTCCTGCCTCCAGCAAAGGTTTACTTTGAAGATTCGCGTTTTTTAAGAATTATATCTTCGCGAGTTTTTATTGAACTTATTTCCTTAAAACTTCAGGTATAGTCATTTTCTGCTTCCAGCAAAGGTTTTCTTAGAAGATTCGTGCTTTTTAAGAATTGATATCTTCGCGAGTTTTTATTGAACTTATTTCCTTAAAACTTCAGGTATAGTTACTATTTGAGTTTCTGTTTTCGTTATTTTGATATAATAGCTCAATATTACAGACATACTGCAGGTAGAAGAATACCAATCAATAATTGAGATGGGTAATACAATAAAATGGCGTTTTTTTGGCGCTAAAACAGTTGAGTTTTAAGAAGTCATCACCGCAAGCTAACCGCGGCTTGACACTGTGGAATTTTTAATAGGGAAACTAAAAAATAGAATAAATAAATCCCATGATGAGCACTGAGAACTGGAGAATATTGTTTGGAAAACGTAAGCAAATGCGACTTCCATTATTGCAAGTTGAATATGATGGGAGAAAGAAGAAGCAAAATTGATCTTATTGAAAGAAAATGAGATGAAGGAAGGAAGGAAGAAAGGGAGGGAAAAAATCGGTTGAAATCAAGAGAAAGATTTTGCTCAAATTAATAATCTGTGTTTTTGCCGACCACCCAGCTGATCTGAGAAAAAAGTTTCTCCAGAAAAAGCTGAGGAAAAAAAAAAAAAAAAAAAAAAAAACCCGAAAATTGGAAAGATAATCGAAAACCGCACAATTAATAGAAGTAATTCTGCTGTGGGGTTCCTGTGCTTCAATCAACCACAGGAAGCCCACCACAGGTATCATGAAATACATTTAAACACGTTTCACATTCAACCTTTCAGATAAAAAATAGTTTTTAAAAACAATGCCTATGAAGTTTTTATTCGTAATAGGGAGGTCTTGCTTCTCACTTTATCTCTCGAAAGTGTCATACGTGAGGTCCCTCTCGTTTTATGCAAAAATATATCYGATCATTAATTACTTTTAGAGAATCTATCAAATGAAAGAAAAATTATCTAATTTGTGTTAGAAGGCATCAAGGAACAATTTATGTCCACGAACATCAAAAACTTGTTTAAGAAACCTTTATCCGATAACTAATCTCAACGCCAATAAATAAGTAAAAGTTTTCARTCCATACATGCGACGGCCCTGTGGCCCAATGGATAAGGCATCTGACTACGAATCAGGGGATTCCAGGTTCGAGTCCTGGCAGGGTCGCTGTCTATTTTTTTTGCTTTTCAAGCTATTCGTTTTTATCTTTTATCTTATTTTTACAACACTTAATGCATTAAGGACATTAATTTAAACCGATGTCTTACTCTTAAAAACATTCCTTAATATTTTCTGTCGTATTTTTTTTGAATATTTTTAGGTGTAGAAAACACGGCCTGCTCTAAAGTTCTTACAAATTATAAAACAACTTGAAATATAAATTTAAAAGCTCCAAACCAATGATACCAGTTAAAAAAACACTAATAAGCTAGACTTACCATTTAATTTCCTGCCTAAAGTTGATATTTTTCAATTTTTCTGCAGTTTGTCGAATGAATGAACCAACCGTCTCTCTAGATCTGGCTTTGGTCCGTGCCTGTTGTTGACAATGAAGCTTTTCACGTGGAAAATTATTCTTAACATCTAAATTCCACATATTTCAGCGTTTTGCTGTCCTTTTCTAATTGAAGTTAAGCTTAAAACTTTAAATCTAAAAACGTATAGTTTGCACAGCGCTCTGTTCAAGTTTTGACAAAGTTACCACAGTACCTAATTAATATGCGGAGGACTGCTGACCATGCAAATAATGACGAGTAATTTATTTGTTTTCAAAAACAGTTGACCATAAAATATAATCTCAAGGGATTTATTAGTTAAAGCGTTTTTYCCCTCACTATTCAGTTTTATATAGTCTAATTTTTCTCTTCATTTGATTCAGCTGCAAACATAATTAATTCTAGCAGAGCTGAAGATATATCCACAGGCAACCCAAGCAAACAAAGCAAATCTAGATGGTGTGACTGCTACTTATTTAGGGGGGGGGGAGGGGGAGACTGGTGCAAAACAAGGTCATGCTTCACCCCCCCTTCCTTTCATGAAAAACCTTTCCCTTGTTTTCCCTTCCCTTCTCCCCCCTCCCACCACTACTGTATTAATATATGGGGTCTGATTTCAAATCCRAAGCATGAAACATAAAATATCAAAAATATCATTTTAGTTTTAGYAAAAATATTTATTTCATAGTGACGTGAATACAAGAGTTGGTAGGCCTAGGCATAAATAGCTTCATCAGTGCATCCATATTGAAAATAGTTGTTTACAAAGATTGTATGTGCTAGACGCTAGAGAATGAAATTCACAAATACTAGAAAAGCGATGAAACAGTAGAAAACAGTAAAACTGAAATAAGTGCAGTTTTTGTATAGAATGTAATATAACTTTTGTCATTGAAGCTTGCTCTTTTATTTGAAAAAGTTTCAAATGATTTTTATAATTCTTCTTTTTTTCCTTCTTTAGATTTCTTACTCTTTTTACTTTTCTTTTCTTTCTTGTTTTTCTTTTGTTTTACACAATCCTTGGTGTATTCCTTACAGATATATTCATGGAGGTCTCCACTTTCTCTGAATTTTTCATACAAGGTGTCTTCGCTGACATCGCCAACTATGCCAGAACACTTAGATGACAATCTGTAATTGAAAAAAAAAATTGCCTATGGTTTAACTGGCTTTTGATTCTATTGCAATAAAATCCACTCCTGGGGTTGTGAGTTGATTCCCAGCTGAGCCACATATGTGAGTTGAGTAATTTGTTTGAGGTGTCCTTCTTCCCTTTGTCATGAGGATTTTTCTTTGGATTCTCTACATATTTTCCCTATGTGGGATGAGTGTTGTGTGCTGCAAAACACCTATTTAAAAAACCTTTGATGGTCCGAGATCTCGGGGGAAAGGGGAGGGGGGGTTTCAATTTGGACTCTGTCCTGTTACTTTATTGACTGTAATTATTTGTCAATTATTTCGGTGATGAAATCAATAAAATAAAATAAATATTAATGAAATGTGAAATGAGTGATCTGAGACTAAACCAAATTTTGAATCATGCTTTCATGTGTTCTGGCAAAAATGCAAAAACATACCATTTCTAACTCTAAGGTCATGTTTCATATTCAGGGGCAACAGAAGCTAAAAATCTTTGGGGGGGCACTGCAAAAATCTTTGGGGGGACACTGAAGATTATATTTAATGCTATGTGATAATGACAATGTTTTGTTTGACTGCAGACGCATGCACCATAAAACAACGACTAAGAACCAATTATTTTTGGGGGTGCCAGGCCCCCCAAAAAAATTTGGAGGGAGGGCACATGCCCCCCCAGCCCCCCGGTTCCACCCCCCCGATATTCCAATCTACAAGGAAACTACAGTGTTCGCTGAACAACACAGTTTAACCTTTTAGATTAGAATATGAAGCATGACCTTTCAGTTAGAAATGTTGTAAGATCTTATTAAGAAATTTAATCTTATGATATATCTTACAAGATTCTTACAAGATCTTGACAAGATTTCTACCTGGGAGAGCTCCTTACTGGGAATGATAGTTGAACATTATAATAATTACAATAATTAAATAAAAACATATTAGTGTATACCAACCTTCCTGGCCACTTTCCTCCACCTTGCATCATTCCAGGAAAGTCTTTGGCTTCAAGGCCTTCACCAGAGATTCTGTTGACTCCATTAACAGTCTTAATACCATAGCTAAAATATAAAAATCCATGACTCAATGCTAGTTAACAGAGCACAAAGGTGCTCCCTTTACACACTCAGACTATCAGTACTCATTATATACTCCTTATTTAAATGCTAAAGTACACAGAACTACTGGGAGAAGGAAGGACAGAAGAAAAAAAAGGGGGGGATGAATTTATATAGCACCATTTCCAGGAGCTCAATGGCGCTTTACAAGATCAGTGGAGGACTTACGGGCTGCATATTAAGGCACTAGTAGCAGCCGTGCAGCTTACAATCATAAGTGATTTGTTAGTATGTTAGTATTATGCCTCCAAACTGGGATAGGCTGTCGAACCTAAATTCCCTACTCTTACACTAATAATTCAACAGGTTCTTTTATGTCCCCCATTTTACTGCAGGTTAGGAAGGGTTGGGAGACAGGGCCTATGGTTTTAAGTCCTTGTCCAAGAAGACTTGAAGGTCTAACCATTTTCAGATGTAATTACAAAGGCAGCATCTTCTCCTCAGTTATTTTAAGACCCTGAGTGTTGGTCCGGCCGAGGCTTGAACCACGACCTCCCGCACAACAGACCAACGCTCTTACCAACTGAGCTACCGAGAGGAAAGAAGGAAGAAAGGAATGCAAGTATAGGTCAATCATTTCCAATAAATTAAGGTTATAGGCTATAATCAATTGAATCAAACCATACTTACTCATCCCAAGCCTTGGACTCACACACTCCTTCAATGATGTCTAAGTACTCTGATTCACTCAGAGGTTTGCCTTTTAGTGATGGCCGTTTTGCTTCAGCAGCTGCAAGTGCTTGTGTCAACTAAAACCAACATATTCAAGCTTTTGTAAGTAGTTTGGGACATTCATATCAAATCAAAACGTAAGCCAAATCCATCGTTCCTAAATCACTGATCAGGGCTGGTTATTAAATCCGATCAAACAATACGCTAGTTGTGACCAATGAGCGTGCTGGATTCATTATATTCACTTGTATAAAAATACTTAATTGGGTTACCGTAATTTACAGTAAATGAAATCCCCTGAGACAAAAACAAGTGTTCACAGAGCGTCCAACTAAACAGGTTTCCATAAACTCAAGCTCCAACACATAAGTTACTCAATAAACAAATGCTGTCTTTGTTTTTCCTGGTAGAGTAAAGTAACATATTATTTTAGGTCCTCTCTCAAAAAACAGTATATATATTTTACCACAAACCTAAAAATGTAAATGAAAAAATATAAAAAACTAAAATTATTGATGCTTGGAATTAAAGTTTTGAAACAGCTGAGAAATCGTTATGGCCGATAAATCCCGATATGGGATAATTATAAGACTAAATGAGTGCTTAAGATATTGCTACATAAAAGTTTTATAAGCTTAATATGAACTTTCATTATTAAGCTTATAATTCTAATAAACTTTCAAGTAAGAGTTTACGTACCTTGTAGGCAATTGCTGTACAAGAATCACACTGGATTTCAAAAGAACTAGGTGTATGTGGTGAATGTTGTTCCTCTTCAGTCATTTTAGGAGTTTCGAAGGTCATTTTTTGCTGTTCTTGTGCTCGTGTAAGAACGAAGAATACACACAACAAGAGGAAGCCATTGACGGTCGACATTTTGAAATACTACTCCCAAAAAATGAGATYTTTTTGTCTGATATTTTTACAAGTTGAAAATGCAGGTATATTCGCGTAGTTACTTGGCAAACAGCTGTAATGGGTTAAAGTAATAAAAGATCGTATGAATAAATAAAATGTTTATGCTGCAATAACAAGTGACAGCAAATGACTGAATGCCACGAGAAAATGGACTCACTATGTCACGCATGTGACGTGACAACACTCATGGACAATAACGCTGAGCTAACGCAATCACCTGTAAAAACTACCAGTAACAAAGACCAATATTTCTTCAATATTAAAACGCCAATAAACTTTGAATTAAAATAATAAATTAATGCTTTATTTTCATTAGTATTTTGAATGGTTATTTTAAACGAATAGAAAAATTTATAGAAGTTTTTAATTTTGTTGGGCTACCTGTGGTACAATATGTTAAGATCGCAGGCTCATTAATTTTGAACCGGAAGTACGTTCCCGGTCGAGGGTCATATAAATCGCAGAGGGGTGGGGTGAGAAAGTGGCCGAGGGGGGAGGGGAGAGTCATCAATGTCGTAGATAGTTATGAAAAATTCGAAATTACAGAAAATAGTTCTAAATTTACGTTTTCTTCGTTAATTCTAGTCGATTTTAATTAATTCTAAAATTATTCCAGGATTGACAGATCAAAAATTTCACAAATTTGATGCTGAAAGCAATATTGCTGTTATCCTTACTGTCAAAATCTTTTCTTTCTTTGTACTGTAAATATTATGGATGTGAGCTCCCTTGTTAAGCTTTACAGCTTTTGGGGGAAATGTTTTGTCAAATATGTTAAATAATAAAAAAATCGATATAAACCGAGACAACAATTGTGATGAAAAAATGCAAAAGATTCAGACGAATAAAGTAAGATCCTTCCAAAAATCACGCTACTTATTTGAAGTAGGCTTTGGAAAGTATGATTAATTCTTGTCTATCAAAAAATATAATTTATTCATCCTACATGCATTTTGAACGGGCGCGCAAAAGATAATTACTCCGGAATGACAATAAAAATAAAATCTCGAAGATTATTCAGCGGTTTTTGAGCGCGCGCACATCGTGGGCTCAAATCGAATGTTAGTCAGCCAATTTTAAGGGTGCAGTCATCGACATTATGACTCATCACGTCAGAATAAGTTGGCGCGTTTTGCTTATAAAGCCTCGGAGCCACGATAAAGCCTGGTTCACAAGAGCTATGCAAATTACACAAATACAAGGACAAACAGTGTTCAAAAGCGTAGTAAGGTACTAGCTTGTTTACATAAAGAACATTTTTAGTCTTGTGGTATTTTTTCTTGCGTTTGTGTTTCGTTAAAAACTCAAACTCAAACGCAAGCAAAAAAAGTTTCCTCGGTTGCACTTTCGTTGCTGGTGTGAACCGGGCTTTACTACTCACTGATCTAATGACTGTATACTGTATATGTAAGTACTATATTCTCTTCATGATGAATAAACGCAGAGCAACGTACAGAGCAGTGTYCATCGATCCAATCAGTTCAGTTTTTAAAAGTGCGTTTTATACTTTTCGACCGCTCTTTTTCAAGAAGTTCCTGGAACGTCTCTATGCCATCTTGTAACGACAGCACCAAGATAATTTCCAACAGCAGCACCAATCATACCTCCGGCTAAACTACCGGGTAGGCCGAAAGCTGAACCAGCTAACGACCCAGCAGCGCCCAGTAGCAAGCGGGATAATACCTTTGCAACAATTTCCAAAAGCTTCGTATTGAGATCGTAGTCGTTCTTGATAACTCCCTTTTCCCTGTTTTCAAAAGCTTCCTCGATTTCAAGCCAACACAAACCCGCTTCCATAATCGATGCAATGGCAAAACCAACCGCAAAGGCATAGTTTTGTTCTTTTAGAACTGTAACTGCAATTTCATCTGATGCGTTGGCAAGGAGTTTGAGGAAAAAGGACCCCAACTGGCTGCGTGCTGTGTGAGTCACACCAGCGCACAAGGCTCCCACGATCTCTTTTGCCCAAGTATACCAGAACTTGACTTGAAGACTGACTGTTAGCCCACACATACACCACATAACGAAATGTTCGCAGTTGTTAGTCAAACAGTTATATGTTTTCTCGCCTTCTCGCGATATGGCTCTTCTGACAACCTTTCTTGCACGGTACCGCCTCAGCTCCCTAGGCCACACTATTTTGTGCATCTACATATATATTGTAATCATAACGATCAATGGACTTTAGGCCTAGAGCAAACGTCGAACTTTCCATACACCGAACTCATTAAAAACAATGGATATCAGGTGATAATGAGGCGGCATTCTTTGATGTAATTAAGTTCGGTGCATGGAAAGATCGACGTTTGCCCTAGGCGTTAGTAATTCACATTTAATTCGACATTCATCCAAGCCATTTCTCGGCTATATAGGACATAAAGCTATTTTAAAAAAGGCCGAATACTGCATAGTGAATACTGAATAGTGCATTCCAAGTCCGAAGTGCATTGTGGGTCACGGTGACATCGTCTAAAGTAGGATTAATAGTAATAATAATTTATTCTGTTTTTAGTGTATTGCATCTGAACCAATATAGTAACTACACGTAGAGAGTTAGTTCCTGTATATTTACTTTTTATTTCAAATTACATTTGGTCTTGGAATGCACT